GCTGGTAGACATCGCGGTTGGAATTATCAAAGGTTTTTGACACCTGAGAGACACCGTAGCAACTCCTTTGTGTTTGGAAGCGGGGGGTGGGGGTGGGGGGAGGACCAGGGAGGATGATTCAAACACTCAACCACTAGATGTCGCCTTTATTAGTCTGCCCCAGGCCAGCTGTGGCTACAATGTAGCTTATCACCATCACTGTGTGAATTGCTTTGTAGTCTGTAGAGACTTGATAAAGCACTGTACAAGTTCAGGTCATTTAAAATTATAAAAAAATCAAATATAAGTAGTTTTTCTTTTTTATTTTTCTTATGATCAGGATGAAGCTCACTTTTGGTATTTGTTGCTGCTTGTACCGATGCTGCTGCAGTTCACTTCATAATCAGTGTCGCTATAAAGAAAACAACATAACTACACAGCAGGAAGTGACTTCGGTGTTTTTCTGATGTTACAAAACAGCTAAAAGGAGACATGTCCACTAAAACAAGTGAAGAAGGGGATCTATTTTTTATACATGGACTGTTTCGCACATACTGTTTAGCGCTGCCTACCAGAAGCAGCGCGCAATTGTTTGTGGGATTGTTTGGGGCAAATGAAAGAAAAGTAAACGATGGAACAGGTTATAAAAGTTTAAAATTTGGATTGTTGCACATTTTAAAATGTTTATTTTGGTTTGTGAGGTACCAACTGCTAATCAGAAAAAGGACAAACTCGTCCAGAACCTTTACCTGCTCAAATGTTAGAATTAGTGTCTAAAATAGCAACCTGGAAATGCAAAATAGAGGTAAGGTTTGCTGTGCAATGTTTTCACTCGTAGTAATTACTATAGTATGGAACTATATTAAATCTATTGCCAGAGAAAATCCCAGTATATAGTGATCTTATTACATATAATCTAAATATAATCTTGAGGCAGGCTGACCTATGATTTATTAACTCCTGAGTATAAAACGTCCTTCTTGGCCACACATCAAATTTGGCTTAAATGTTAATTCAAAATACATATTTTTGTTTTAACAGTGGTAAATGCATTTGTTATTGTGATCTGTAGCTTTCTGTATGGTGTCTATTAGTGTTAATAAATAAACCGTACACCATTATATGGTCAAGTTTTTTAGATAGTCCATACCTACATTTGTAATACAGTATTAAGTGGTCAAAATGATCTGTAGTCAGGAAATGTGATATGGGGCCCAGATATAGATATATATATAT